CATTTTTAAGTTTAAAAAAAACCACACACAAAAAAACCCAAACAAACATAAAACGCAGCATGGCACAGATTAAATCCATTTGAGACGACTTGAAAAAAACACTGTATGTGCAAGTCAATAGGAGGAGGGGAGTGGAAGGGGGAAAAAGCAACTGTGACATATACAAACCCTTTAGTGTGCATAGCATAAGATTTTTTGGCTGGCACTCACATGATTTTATTCAAGGGCTGGGAAAGAACTACGATTAGTTAAAAGCTTCGGCAAAGTCTGGAGGGAGTGCTCTGAAGAGTTGGGAGCCGCGCAGAGGTGACTGTAACTCCTCTTGCAATTTCAGACTATTCTTCTGTGGCTCAGGACAAAAGCCTTTTCTTTTCCCTCCGTGTTCAAAGAGACATTTGTCTTGAGATGTTGCAGCTGTGGGCCGCGGGATTGCTTGTTTGAAGATACCCCCTCGTAGACGAAAGGAGAGGCAACGCACTGAAAAGTGGTAGTATTTTATCGTGTGTGGGTTCCCCTCCCTCCTCCTCCCTCCCTCCTCCTCCACTGCCATGTGTGGTTTTTAATAAGAAGAAGAATGTGGAGGCAACATTTTCCAGGCAAGGGGAAATTTCCTGTTTCTTTTCTGTTTGTTTAATAAAGTGTGTAGTTGACTGTAAAACTATAGCTACTTTGTTGTGAACGGGTAATTCAGGCGAGTGTCAGGATCGCTTCTTGATGCACTTTTATATACTGCAAGTGAACATGTTTAAAGCCTTTTTTTTTTTTTTTTTTTTTAATGCTGCGTGGCTAGGCAACTGAGATTAGTAAGAATTAGGCAAATGGCTTCTGCTTTTGTTTCTGTGAGATACTACCAGCCGTCTTGCGGTCACACAAAGACTGCCATTTAGCAGGGAGCGCTCCCTAATTCTCTTGGCAGGGGTGCCATTGGGATCGGATACAAGTGGGTGGCAAAGGGGAGGAGCAGCAGGAGAGGACAAGCAGGCTTTGTGTATTAAAAATGAAACAAAAGCACTTTATACGTGGGGCTGCGTGCAACAAGCGGTGCTGCCTGTGAGCCGGGGTGGAGTTTGAGTTCTCACTGTGACTGCAAAACCTTTCTTTTTTTTTTAATTTTTTTTTCCATAAACCCTTCCTCCTCTCCCTCTTCCTTACCAAGTGCTCCCTGCAATGCTGGCGAGGGTCTGCAGGCAGCTGAAAACACCTAAAAAAATACATCTCGAACAATATTTACCACAACTTTGCAGGAACGGCTGGGGCTTTATCAGCAAAATCAGCTTCAGATGGCGGAGGAGCCACCAAATTTGTGAGGCTGTTGGGAGGGAGAGTTGATCCCACCCCAGTCCCAAGGAGAGCTTGTCCACTGCCTCCTGCCTGCACCACCCCGGCTTGCTCTGCTGCCTGCTGCCCACGCGTGGGGAGGCAGCGATGGGCTTGGTTTACGCAGCATCGTACCCCTCGGTGGAGTGAGCCCGGTGGTTTTGCAATGTGTGGCAGAGCGAGAGGGTTAATGGCTGAGATGTTTTATCAGAATTTAGGGGGGGAGTGTCTGGCTGTTTAATTACTTTCTGATCCGTGGCATACCTCGTTCTTAATGAAGCAGTTGCACGCAGAACAAACGTACTGTATGAGCTTGTTTAAAAAGAAAAGCGTACCGAGTTTAGCTTGGTTTTGTCAGCCCAAATGTTTTGGTTTGAATGTGTTTGTGCAGGAGGTAGGAACCAGGACGGTGAAGAATAGATGCAGAGTGGTGGAGAGGCAACGAGAGAGGCAGGCAAGGAAAATATACCACGGTTTAAGTTGCAAACCTGCCAATGGTTTTTATTAAAACGTAATTTCCATACATTATACACTTCATCTCGTATTGATTTGCTTGAAAACTTTCATTGTCAAGCTGAAGTAAATTCCCTCATTGAAGTAGGAGAAATGAGAGACATTCCTCGGACTACCTCACAGTTTCCAGCCAGCATTCATCCTCGGCAACTGCACTTTTGTGTGCGGGCGAGGGTGACATGCCTAAGAAGCCTGTGTCATCATGCACAATTACATCCCTAATCCCGAGCAAAGACACAGATGCTGTTTCAAAAAAAAAAAGCTGTGTTTCGTTTGAGTTTCAAAGAAGCTTATGTAATGGCAGCATAATAAAACTGTTATTTTGGGGCTCAGATTAAATATCAAGGTTTCAGATAAGCCGTGGTTTTGTCTTCCATGATGTGCCATGCTCGCAGGAAGCCACCACCAGCCTCTGTTTGCCCACTGCCCTGCCTGAGGATGGTCCTGGTCCCCAGTGGGCACCGAGCTCTGAGCTCAGCTTGCCCAGACGGAGGCGTACAGCTGCACAGCACGGGGACAGTGCCAGTGGCCGCTGGGGCTGGGACCACCACAGCCACCTTGCCCCTGCATCAGATTCCTTTTTATTTACAGTTGAGGTGTGAGGCTGATAGGTGATGCTCTAAACCTTGGAGATCATACACGTTAGTAAGCGTTTAAGTCAGTGTTATAATTCACTCACTTGTTAACCTGAGGAAATAATCTAGCTGCAGTATAGTGCTTCACGTAAGGATTGTGTAAGCGCTCTGAGATTTGTACATGTTTTTATTCTTGCTTATCTGCTTATGGCAAGCTTCTTTCGGTTATCCAAATCGCCTCGGCACTCTACCCTGCCTACTGACACAGTTATACTTCCATCTGGATGAAATGCATGCAAACATAATGTATTACTTCCAGTACGTGCTAATGGAGATCTCGGTAGGAAAGATGGAGAGCAGGACCTATTCCAAAAACATTCACATGTAATGCTGAAAATCTTCAGTCAGGTCTGCTGCTGGGTTGCTTGGTTCTTAATTTCTTAAAGCAGAGTCAATAAAACAGGAATGGAGAGCCATTAAACCTCCTCCATTAAACCTGCCTGTTTCCATGGGGTTAATTTTTCCCATGCAAAATAAATGTAACTACGTGCTATCCCACGTTTCATACGCAGCAGCGAAGATCCCTCCCTGGGGCGATGCTCTTGGCGCTGGCGTGGTCTGGGAGGCATCGCTTTGGCCCGTAGCACCTGCATCTGTCACATACACATCAGCTGGTGGAGATCTTGCTAATACTTTACCCAACAGCAATCTGGACAGAAAGGCACATTTAATTTTCCCTTAAAAAAAAGAAAAAAAAGAAAAAAAAAAGAAATCAACACCTTGCTCTTCTCATGAGTTTCTTTCCTTCATTGTCATTGCTCTGGCACGTGAGGCTGCAGTGACACAAGTCCTGGTGTTGACCGCAGTCCAGAGGGCTGGAGCGGTACCCAGCCCTGGGCGCAAGGGCCGGCGAAGGAGGCTCCTGCTCTTGGCTTTAGTCTGATTTACTCAAACAGAGCCACAGACAGTAGCATTTGTTCTGTAATACTCCATGTGAGATGTTTGACCCCCCCAAGATACCCCAAAACAACTCCACGGAGTTCCCTCAGCCGAGCCGCGTGCTTGTCCAGCTCACCAGCATCAGCAATTCTACTGCGAGTAAGTCGTGATACCTGGGATGTAGAGTGGCAGGGAAAAATGCTCTTACCCAGAAGCAGTGAAGGCATTTACTGTGTCTGTTAGCCACTCAATAAAAGGATCACACACCCACTATGCTTAAAGGCGATACAGGTGTTGGTTGGTAGCCCTGGAAGGTTCTTGTGCAGAAAGGAGCTTTTGTTAAGGAGAGGGGCTTCTCTGAGGCTGCTTGTGAGGGGGTTTGAAGGTTCGAACCCAAACCCTCCAGGCCTGGACATCTCATGGTGCGGCAGCAGAAATGAAACACTGCTTTGTGCCCAGAACACCCGCTCCCCCCACCTACGCTTTTCCCAGAAACTGCCTGGGTAGCCGAAAAAGATAGCTGAGATATTTTGTACAGTCCTAATGTAATAAATTCCCTTACTGAGTACTAAAGGGAGGCGTAGAAATGTCTAAGTGACTTGTCCAAAAATGAACCGATTAATCCCCAGCAGAGCAATAAATAGGGTAGAAAAATCAGCCTTCTGCGGCCCTTGGTGGTGATTGTTCCTTTCCTCACCTCAGCCTGGAAAACGTGTCATTGTGAAATGAGAAAAAAGCAGCACAGCTGAACAGACTCCTGAATACAAGTATTTTCAAAGGAGCAGCCCATGGCTAGGTGTGTGTAAGTGTGAGAAGAGCACTGTCCTGCACTGGCACAAGTGCGCTTACTGCCATGGCAGAGCGGGGTCTGCAGCCATTTCATCCTGTATATGCAGGTCCTTCACGCAGGCTCCAGCCACGCATCCCAGAGCATCCCGCAGGATGCGGGGATAGACCGGGTTTGGTTTTATGAAGTAAGCTGAGCTTCGCCGTTCCCACCTTGAAGCCTTCTGGTAGTTGGTAATATAACAGAATATATGCCTGTCTGCTAAAGAGGTCTTCGGTGTCCTGCTCTTTCTGTGATTTTCCAGTAATACTTTTTTTTTGGTGGCTGTCTGTTTGGACTTGTCTTTCTGAGGTGGTCAAAATGGTAGTCATCCCCTAAAAAAACAGATCAACTACCAGTGTATGTCTGTGGAACAAAATCCCGGCCCTCCTGCAGGAAGGGGAAGAAAATACTGCTGGCTTGGGTTTCACTCCTAGGATGCTAAATAAAACGGTTGAAGAGGCCAGCAGCTCTGGCTTACGTGGTTTGGTTGAAACGTGGCCTGTGTCGGTGAGGATCGGCACAGTGGAGATACATCCCCATAAAGTCACAGGTGGCTGAAATGGCGTTGTCCATCCCTGTCCTGAAGCAAGTCTTGCTGGGTTTTCTCTCTGTCAGGGGCAAAACTGCAGCCATACTCCCAGAGGTAAAACTGGACCTTGTGCTAAACTTTGCATTGCATTGCCATCATCCCCCTAAATTTGTTGTGCAAGCTGAAACCATGTGCCGCTGCCCCTCACCCGACACAGGAACCATGCGCAGGTAGCACTGCTGCCGGGGGGACCTTCCTGCTGCCGCCGGTGTAAAAGCCGCGCTTCTTCTGCTTGCAGGTATTCGCCCTCAAATCATGAACGGCCCCATGCACCCCCGGCCCCTGGTGGCACTGCTGGATGGGAGGGACTGTACAGTGGAGATGCCCATTTTGAAGGACTTGGCGACGGTTGCATTCTGTGACGCACAATCAACTCAGGAGATTCACGAGAAGGTAACATCAGTTGCAAGGGCGCGGGCGGGCCGGGCCAGGCCGGGGGACGGTGTGCTCTGGCCTTCCTCTTCCAATTCTTCTTGAGAAAAAAGTGTACAAAGCTGCACTTTGAGACCATCAGCGGATAACATCAACAGAAGTTGCTGTAGATTAAAATTCAGCGAGGCCAGATGTTATTTTGGAAAAAGAAGTCATCTTATCTCTTAGCATCAGGTTTTTTACATCAATATTATTAATGTTTCTCATTTTTTTGAAGTCCGCTTGCTCGGTGCAGCAGTAACAGCACTCTGCACCTCCCCAGGGTGCGGGGCGGTTGCTCTGGCTTTGCTAACACCATCCCACGCTGCAGCTGATGGGTCTCCTCCAGTGCGGGCTACACCTCAGCAGCTCATTTCTCCCCAGCAAGGAGTGGGTGAGGTTTGGGCAGCATGCAGGCAGATCAGTGCAGTGTGGATGGGTGTTTCTGCCTGGAAGCTCAACTAATTGTAAATACTTGTTTTAAAAGTATTCTTTGTGCACATTTAGATAACTCAAATGAGGTTTGAAGGGATCAGAAATCACTTCCAGGATCTGGGAAAGAGAACTACAAATAGCATCAGTGCTGATCTTTGCAGTGCTTCAAATATTAAATGCGTGGGAAGGAGGATGGACGTTTTTATGAGGCATTGGTAGATGATAGATGGGCCAGTCTTGGAGAATTTAGATAGGTCTTGGGTTTTCAGAACACCGAGGTAGCTTATGGTGAGCACCAATGAAGGTTTGAATCTCCATTGAAGGGAACAGAGTACAGTCTTACATGACTGTACAGCATCACACAGATCTTTTTAGATACTCTTGAAAACATACAGGAAGGGTTAATGTGAACAGTGTGACAGGTACTTATACTTCCAACATACAAAAGAAGGTTGAGGAGTTACAAGTGACACACAGTTGTGTTCAAAAATAATAGATACTGCCATAAAACCTAATTTGTTTTTAAAAGCAGAATTACTGCTGGTTGGAAGCAGAGGGATTAGCAGATAACCACCTGGAAAAGGGTCCGGGTGAGTGACAGGCTTAGTTTTCCTCTGCTTTGCCTCCCCAGATGTAACATCATAATTTTCAGATATGCATCCAGTCTCTTCCCAAAGGGAATGGCCTCAGTGTTGGTGGGTCACACCCCTGTTAGTTTTGGTGACACCTGGAAGTGTCGGCTTGCACTGTGCCTGGGTCAGACAGTAGGTCAGCGGTAAAAATGTACAATTTACTGTGTAATATTCCTGATTCATGAGCTGCAGGCGTCCCCTCCAGGTGTCTTGGTGGCTCCTGACATCTCTGTTCTGTTCCAGGTATTAAATGAAGCTGTTGGGGCGATGATGTACCACACCATCACACTGACTCGAGAAGATCTAGAGAAGTTCAAGGCCTTACGGGTCATTGTTCGAATAGGCAGTGGCTACGACAACATTGACATCAAAGCCGCGGGGGAGCTTGGTAGGTCTCAGCTCTGCACCCCGATTCCCTCCTACATCCCTCTGAGTCTTTAAACTCAGCAGAAGTACCTGCTGCTTCCCAGGGGAGCGTGCTGGCAAAGTGGAGTTGCAGGCAGGACCTCACAAAGGAAGTTGATTAAACCCTTAAAATTACAGGTGCAGTTTACATTTTTTGCATGTAGATAATATTATGATAAGAAAACTTGACCATGAAGTAAACAAAATGGTGCAGTTTTAGAAGGCAGCTTTTAGGCTCATACTATGTTAAAACTGCCCCATCCGAGCCCCTTGTTCCCACACTGTCCCAAGTTCGAGGTGCCCCCTTGTACTGACGGATTTTGGTATGGCTGTTCTATTTCTGGCTCAGGAGAGTTGATCTAGCTTTAGGAAAATTGGAGGAAGGGTGTTTTATTATATTTTGTTAAGCAAGATCAGTCTCTTGATCTGATCTGGTTCTCGGAGTCATGCCTACACTGCTGGGAAGGCGACGTGTCGGACAGTGGGGCAGGAATTGTGCGTTGGGTTGTTGCTGCCTCCTTTGCCATCTCATCAAAGGTGCCTCAGGAACTTGAAAAAGAGATTTACTGTAGGGTCGTGTTATGTGGACTGCCAAAATACAGGGGCCCACATTTTCAGAAAGGAGCCCCTATGTCCAGCTATGGGATTTTTCTGCATGCCTGGGTTTGGGGGGGGGGGGTAGGCTGCGTTGCGTGGCTGTCAGGTGGTGCTGGGGCCACCCGATTTCCATGCTGGTTTGGATGGTCACAGAGACCTTTGGCAATCTGCACACCCCCAACTGGGAGAGCTTAATTGTATCCGTGATTTTAGCAGCTGAGTTACAACCATTTTTGATCATCTGATCCCAAGATTCAGTCTATCAAGCAGTCCTACAATAGTGTTTAGGATATCTTCTATTAAAGGTTATCTCTGGGGAAGTGAAGAATAACAGCCATTTCACGTGAGCCATTTTACAAGGATAATTGCGATAAGAGAGTTTCAAATAGTCATTCCTAAGAAAGCAATTCTCAATATAGTGAATTATTTTTTCAAGAGGAGAACAGCATCTTCTCAATGTAATGGTTTCTTCATGTTTTTAACTCTTATTGTTATTATCCATTATAACAATGTTCTGAGGCTTTGAACATCAAGAAAGGAAAAATATAACGAATAAAGTAATGGGATGCTGCAGTATAATCCTTCTTTTTATACTTGGCAAATTGGGTGGCCAAATGATGTGGTTTCGAGTAGCAAATGTAATGACTACCCACAAATGTAGCGTAAAGTTTAATTGGTATTGCTTTCCATAAGGTAGTTTTTAAACTGTGCAGTCAATAAATGACCAGTGTCTAAAGACGGTGCCTGGCCATGCGGTGTCAGCTGCCTGTGCCTTGCTGGCCTGGCTGGCTGGACCAGTTTTGACCCACTAGAAGACACCGCCAGAACAAGATGCTTGTGTTGAACCATCTGCCGGGTATTTAACCCCCAGTGCCAGCAGCTCCTGCTCCTGGGGGCACGACAATATATAACAGCGTAAGAATCTTGTGGGAAAGGCAGCCCGGTTTCATCCAGCTCTATAAGCAAGCGGTCCATCAGAAGAGGGACAAGTGCCGACTTGGTGATGGGTTGGTGATGGGGACTCTCGGCGGAGCTGCAGGCCGATGGGGAGCACTGCCAGAGCCGCTCATTGCCCTCCAGCCTTCCTGTCTCTTCTCTTCCCCTGTGAGCAACCATGGCCTCTGCCTACAAATGCGCAGGAGCAGTTGCCTGATACTTAAATGTGTGGTCTTCCTGGAAAACCCTCCCTTCCTTTCATTAAGGGCTTGGGCAGGCGGTCAGCGTGGTTTCTGGGCTGCACCCAAGTCCCCGAGGTAAATCAGAAGTTCCCTCTGTGGAAGAGATGGGAAATGTAAAATGAGACAGCATCAGCTTTAGGAGCTCGCGGGGACCAGAGCATCGTGTCCCTGTCACCTGAAAGGGAGAGGAGGTGGACAGTGTTTTCAGGGGTTGGTTGGTGTTGGGTTTTTTCTCTCTGTAGGGTCAGTCAGTTGTCTCCCAGTTTCTGTAGGTCTTTCAAACAGCCACAGGGTGGAAAAAAGTTTTAAAAACAGAAAAACAGGTTCCTGTGAGCAGGGAGATTGACAGGGGGATGGGAAACAGATTTTCAATTTTGAATCAGCGCCCCTCACAGTGGAAGGGGATTTTCTGAATATCTTATTCTGTCTTTATCTCCCTACTTCTTCATGGTTTCTACTCAAAGGCCCCAGTCCAGTAAAGCACTTAAATACACATCCATCTTTAAATGTGTGTTTAAATCGCATTGAATCCGGTAGGATATAAGCATGTGCTTAACTGCTCTGCTGAATAGACATTAAATGAAGTACACCCTTACATGCGTTACTGAGCCAGAGCCTGGACAGGGCAATGACTGGGGAGGCATTTTCTGTGAACTTAATACTTGCAGCTCCAAGCAGGGACACAGTGGTTTAAAATGAACCTTTTGTGGCAAAGGAACAAAAGGTCTGTTATTGAGACCTGCAGCGGGGCAGGCAGGGGTGTGCAGCAGTGGTGGTGTTGGGGTAGAGGAGCTGCTCCGCCGCAGCCCTGCCCCCTGCCCTTCCCAAATTTTGGGAAAGCCTCCAAATTTTGTGGCAGGAGCAATCGGTTCCTCCTGCAGGAGTGTGGGTGGGTGTTTGTGGCGTGGAGGCTTGCCAAGGGGTGTTTTGAATCGACTGTTCTGGCACTTGGTGGTGGAAGGAGAAGCTGGCCCTGCCACGCTGATCTGGTTTACCATCCTGCTCGAATGCACCAAATTATTGGCCCCTAAATAATTTAATGGTTGAACAGTGTTATTGGGGAGAAGGAGTGACTTCTGCCAGTGCGATTTAAGTCGCTTTTAAGGTAGATTAAACTAAACGAGAATAAGCCTTTCTATTGCAAAACAAACCTTTGCTGCTGGAGTTACTCCTGCGTAGCTCTTGTACTTGAATCTGCACTTGTCCTTACCCCAGAGAGATGCCGAGGTGTAGGGGACCCCTGACCTTACCATTACTGGTCACGGTAATGAGCTTTTTGCAGAGATTTCAGGCTGCTGTACGTAAACCGTGCACATCGTGGGAAAATGTTACTCCAAACGCTTAACAAATGATAGGCTGGGTGGGAGATGTGAGGGTGAAGGGCCAGGAGCCCCTCTGCTTTGCTGGGGGGGCAGGAAGCGGTGGGGCGAGCAGCTGGAGCTGCTCCCCCCTGAGCCACGGTTGTGCTTTGTGGTGTTGCCTCTGCAGGGATCGCCGTCTGCAACATCCCCTCGGCTGCCGTGGAGGAGACGGCCGACTCCACCGTCTGCCACGTCCTCAACCTCTACCGGCGAAACACCTGGCTCTACCAGGCGCTGCGGGAAGGCACGCGGGTGCAGAGCGTGGAGCAGATCCGGGAGGTGGCCTCCGGTGCTGCCCGCATCAGGGGGGAGACGCTTGGCCTCATTGGCTTCGGTACGTTGGCAAAGGGCAGGCAGCCTGCGAATGGTGCATGGAGCGCTGCCAGCCCCATGTTCAGCCTTTGAGGAAGACTCAGCGCCACTTCACTGCCCTAGGAAGGACCTAAAACGAGCATTTTTAAACCCAGAACCACACCACAGTGGATCAGTGTGAATCTTACACTGATTTTTCAGGGAAGGAGCTGTATTTTGTGAGCCTTGGCTGAGCCCTTGGAGGAGTGCTGGTGAAACCTGGCAGTGCCCCAAGAGGGACCATACCTGGTAGTGCTGCTGTCCTCTCCCGAAAAACTCTGTCCCTGAGCCACAGCTACACCATTCTGAGCCATTCTGCCCGGCGCAGTGGCAGGGGTGTGTAAAACAAAGTTTGTCTTCAGTTCATCCGTAGCTATAGAGAGTTTCATTCACTGCCCTAGGAAGGACCTAAAACGAGCATTTTTAAACCCAGAACCACACCACAGTGGATCAGTGTGAATCTTACACTGATTTTTCAGGGAAGGAGCTGTATTTTGTGAGCCTTGGCTGAGCCCTTGGAGGAGTGCTGGTGAAACCTGGCAGTGCCCCAAGAGGGACCATACCTGGTAGTGCTGCTGTCCTCTCCCGAAAAACTGTGTCCCTGAGCCACAGCTACACCAACCCAGCTCTTTCTGAGCCATTCTGCCCGGCGCAGTGGCAGGGCTGTGTAAAACAAAGTTTGTCTTCAGTTCATCCGTAGCTATAGAGAGTTTCAGCATCAGAGGTAGCATCAGCACCTCTGCTGACAACCCTTTTGGATACCCCTTTTGGGAGCAAAGTCCAGCCATCACAAGATGGTTCAGGAGGTGTGTTCAGGCAGCAGAAGCTCACGCGGCACATGGTGGCCGGGCACAAGCAAAGTGGCAGAAACGCGAGCAGAGGAGATCTGGCGAGGTGCTGGTTTACAGAGCACGTCTGTCTGCTGGAGGGTGGCTCGGAGCCAGACCACAAATGTTGCAGCAGTATTTCCACTTGCTTTCTGTGCAGCAGCCATTTTCCCCACTTGCCTCATGCTGTTGTCTTGCAAAGCCCTAGGCTAGTTAGTGCAAAAAGCTGGCTTATAAGCATGTTTAAATGGGGAAACTGAGGCAAGGCGGATGGGTGAGGTTAGGGCAGAAGATACGGGTGAGCCCAGGTCTGTCTGGCAGGGCCAGGGTGAAGGCAGCAGTGCATGCCCGACTGCATGCTCGCAGCTGGATGTCCATGCAGGCACACAGCTGATGTCCCCCCGAGTCAACCACGCATCTCTGGTGCACCGGAATGGCATCACGTATGTGCATGCACAGGGGAACGTCGCTGTGTACCACTAACCAGGCACATGCTGGGCTGCTGCACTGCTGCTAGCTGAAAAAATTAACAGATAAATAAATAATTGAGGCTTGGCACACAGGGCACACGGAGCCTGCACAGCCTGTGGCGGGGACAGGCGGGGGGGCGGCTCCAGCAATGCCACAGACATCCCATGCTACAGCCAGCACAGCGGCTGTAGTAGTCCTTTGCTTCCAAGCTACGACAGTTGTCTTCGTCACGCCCAATTAACCAGTCGTACAGCAAGAGGCTGAAAAACCTATCACAAACAAGTTGCCTAAAAAAGGCGGTGCTTTTTTCTTTCCTTTTTCGGCTTTTCTTGGTAGACACAGCGCCACAGGGGATTGTTTCTCTGCGATGTCCAGAGCTGCACATTGGTGGGGCTGAGCCGCACGCTGGGCCTTCCCCACCAGACCTACATGGCTGTAGATGGTGCCACGTGTTCAAATGGCCGTGAGCCGGCAGATGCCTAATGACCTCACTCTTCATTTTGTTCGTTTTTTTTAAAAATCTTAACACAAGCATCTTGCATTTGCTAGAGCCAAGCACAGCCCTCCCTGTGCAAGGTGGCCTGGGTTTGCCCTCCAGCCAGCATCC